AGGCTGAATTTCTATATGTTGAGTGGTGTGCTCCTTGAATGAAGGAAGGATTTATTTTATTTCTGATCCCTATGCCTCATACTTAGCAAGTGAGCACTGGATACATTTTTAAAGTTAAATAAATACCACAAAATAAGTAAAAAACGAGGACTATTGAAAAAATCCTGCAAGATTAATTTTGTTAGGTGGTGTTTGTATTTTAAGGACGTTTAGGAAGATGTCACATAACAAAGTGTTAGAGTTTTATAGAGTGAGTTACACCCTGGTTTCAGCCCTTTGTGTGTATATTGAAATTACAGCCTTTGGAGAGACACCCTCTTCCATGGAGGATTTTCTGTCCCTACTGCCTGTTCCCTGTCCTGCACCTGCTTTCAAATTACCACACAGAGACTTCATATTATTTATAAATGCTTGGTCAATAGCTCAGATTTATTACTAACTAGCTCTTTCATTTAAATTGATCCATTTCTATTAATCTATGTTTTACCACGTGGCTCCTGGCTTTAGTTGCACTCTAGTACATCTTGTTCCCCTGCAGCTGGCTGGCTTCGCCCTCTGACTCTGCCCCTCTTTTTCTCTGTATCCTCAGTTTGATCACCCTCCCAATACATTTTGCCTGGCTATTGACTAATTGGCTTTTATCACCCAACAAAAGTAACATGTGTTCATAGAATACGAAAGGATTGTTCCACAGGAATTAGCACAAGAAAAAAACTATAACCTATTTGTCCCTTGGCCTCTGCTGCAAGTGTAAGGACTTGCTTCTACATGTTCTACAACACTTTAACCTTCAGATGACCATTCCTCCTTCAGGGCATGCAGCAAGGGCCAGGGATACCTTAAACATGCACACCTTGGCCTTTCCTGACATGCATGCTTTGATCTGACATGACCTGTGTGAGGTTAACACAGTAGCGCACACTCAGCTATACCCTCTATGAACGTGGTCATCACAGACACTGCAGTGAAAAGGGGGAAGCAGTCATCACTGCCCAGGAAGTGGCCTAAACTCACATAAGGAAAGCATTCCAGGGGACATGTTACCCTCTAATTTTCCAGACTAGGCAGAGAAACCATCTTTCTGGGCCCACGTCTCTGGTCATGAGAGCACATGGGATCTGCTAGAGCCATTTATTCATTAACTGATCAGTCAAATGTGCTATTGGAAACTATCCACCACACACACCATGTTTGTCTTCCAAATTCTTGATGCCTTTCCCCAAAATGAATTTTTAATTCACTAGTAACATACAATTATGTTCTCAGAGGTCCACCTCATATCACTAAATTCTCTTGATATTACTGAACTCCAGAAATCCTTGGGAAATATTCCTGACTTGCTTTCATATTTTCCCAAGCTTATCAGGAGTTTGGTCTTTGCATTGGAGTCTACCATAAAACATTGGATTCAGAACATATTTTCTCCACAGACAATGAACAATAAGGTTACCTTTCGCCACTGGTTCCTCAGTACAGCAAATCTCTGAGAAAAATGAGCAGTCCAGATTAGGTCCTTAATAAGAATGTCTTTCCCTGAACTACTTGTCATCTCTCCTAGTCTGTTTTCCATTGCTGTGCTAGAGACCATGAACAAATGCAAACTGGGGAGGAAAGGGTTTCTTTCTGCTTACAGATCTTTTTGCTGGAAACTCAGGGAAGAGCTCAAGGCAGGAACCTAGGGGCCGAGACAGAAACAGAAGCCATGGAGGAGTGCTGCTTACTGGCTTGATGCCTGTGGCTTATTCAGCCTGCTTTCTTATACATCCCAGGACCACCAGCCCTGAGGTGACACTGTCCATAAGAATATTCCATGTCAATCATCCATCAAGGAAGTGCCCTTGGGCTGGAGAGATGGCTCAGCCGTTAAAGGCTATGCTCACAACCAAAAATATAGGAAGTGCCCTAAAAACACTTCCATAGGTCTATATGATGGAGACAATCTCTCTTCCCAGATATAGCTAGGTGTTGGTCAACTTGACTAAAACTAGCCAGCACATCATCCTTCTCACCTGTGATGTCATTTGAGAAAGTTCACCCAACATCTCAACATTATGATCTTTGAATCACATTCTATCATTACCTAAGTTTCTATTGATGGGGGAGGTCCTTCTATGTATATGTCTCTCTTATTGGTTAATGAATAAAACACTGTTGGCCAATATGGAAGCAAGAAAGGTGGGGCTAGGAGTCTAGGAGGATTCTGGGAAATGAAGTAAAGAGGAGTCGCCATGTGATTGCCAGGAAGAGAGAACAGGACGCATGCTGCCAGAGTCCTTGGTAAGATAAATCTTTATAAAATATATAGATTAGTAGTTATGGTTGATAATTAAGACTGAGCTAGCATATAAGAAATCCTAGTCATTGGCCAGCAGCATTGTAATTAATATAAGACTCTGTATGTTATTTGGTGCCCCAAACTTGGTGGAGCTGGCAGCTGACAAAGAGTTATCGTTACATTCTATCACTAATTAAATTAGACAAAATAAAATGAAGGTGTAAACACACATACCTATTTTTAAAACAGCTAACTTGTTAGGGGGATGAAATAGTTCCTCATATTTTAATTAGTATCTCTTCTCCAGATAGCAAGGTGATGCAATAGATTATAAAGTATGGATGGTTATGAGACAACATTTAAATAAACCAATGAGGTGGTCCCCTGTGGCTTTTATTTATTGGGTTAATCACTGTCCCAGAAAGCAACCTATATCTTGGGCATCATGCTCCAGAGGTTTGTAATGCTAATGAGTATGGATGACTTGGATGTATGACACACAAAGAAGCCAATAATATATTTTTGGTTGTGAGCCTAGCCTTTAACAGCTGAACCATCTCTCCAGCCTGAAGCCAATAATATAAGCCCTAAATCTAGAAAGAAGTAATCAATGTGATTAGCAAATATAAAATTAGCTGTCAATGTCTCTAGGCCTTAACTGCTCTCCTGCTCATTGCTGAAAAAGACCCAGTATTTCCCACACCCTTAATTCTTTGTTACTGTTAATCAGGATGTGGTGGAGGTATTAAGCTGTCTTATGAATGGGCTGTGGAGGATCTGGAAAATGATACTGGCTTCCAAGAATCCATAAGGCATGTGCTCATAAGGAATGGCAATATTACCAGCCTACATTTGACTGTGGCCCCAGCACTACAAAGACACTACACTATGTCTACCACACTCAATGGAAAATCTCTCAGAAAACAGACCGGTAATTCTTTTTTTCTAAAGGACAAAAGATTTAATAATGAAGATTTAAATGGGTGTTTTGAATCAATTTATAGATACACTTTTCCAAAAATTAAAAAAAAGAATAAACTTACAGCCATAATAAGGGAAGTCCAGGCACTGCTTAACATATAATCCATCCACCCATTCTTCCTTCCTGTCCCATGATGTCCCTCCTCTCTCCCTCCCTCCCATTCTCCCTTCCCCTGTTGGTTTCTTTTTTTTGTCCCACCAGGTCCCACTGCTGCTTTAGCCCCAAATGAGCACACAAAGACTTATATTAGTTATTAAACTGTTGGCCAATGACTAGGGTTTCTTATTGGCTAGCTCTGTCTTAATGATTAACATGTAACTACTAAAGTATCTACGTAGTTCTACATGGCCTTATCTTACCATAGAATGCCTGGCACATCCTGTCCTCCTGGTCTCCACATGGCAACTCCTTCTGGCCTTCTCTGTCTACCTTCCCCAGAATTCTCCTCATCTCCCCATACCACCTGTCTTCCTGCCTCTATTGGCCAAACATTGTTTTATTCACCAACCAATAAGAGAAACATATATACAGAATGCCATCCCCATCACCTTTCATTCCTCTTTTATTTTCTCCTTTATTTACTCCTTTTTCCATCTTCCTCTCCCCTCTCTAGTCTTCTCTTCTATCATTTTCTCCTCTCAGTTCCCCTTTTTCACAGGCTCAAAAAACTACAGTTACCTGGGTTTTTCTGGGATTCTCCAGCACATCTAAAACAGCGTATTCTGAAATGAAAATGAGAGATACTGACCTCTAAACACTGAACTTCAGTTTTATTATGTTTTCATCAAAACAGCTGGGCTGCAGCACCCGGAAAATAAAAGCAATTGGCTGGATACTGAAGACTTGCAAACTATTTTTATTATGATATTTCTGGAAGTACATGCTGCATGCATATTCATGGTTCTGAAAGGCTTCCTATTTCTATAGATTCTCCCATCATTTGCAGGTGTGATTGTGGATTCATGAATACAGCTAATCACATCTAATGTGTCCTACACTCCAGCCCACTGCATTGATATTTTACTTGATTTTGTGATAAAACAGAGTCCTGAATGAAGATCACTGCCTTATGAACTCTAGGATAGCCTTCAGAAATATTGGGGGCTTCACAGAAAGCTTGAGAGGTTGGACATTCACACTTGAGGAGGATTGTGAGGAATCCTCATGTCTGTTCTCATTGTTCCAATCCACCCTGTTTCCTGCACACTACATGTGAGTGGTGAGAATTTAAACCGTACTCTCACATCTCCTCTGCGTACTTTTTACAAAAGATAACAGTCATATGCATGCTCATAGTCTAAAATTAGTATTGTTGCATTAGTAAAACCAACATTTTATCTTTACCAGCTGATGTACGATTCTGACCTTGTTTCTATGAATTTTAATCTAAAGCCATTGTGCAAAAACGCCCATGCCTTTTATATATTAGGAATTTGTTTCTTGATTTTGTTGAGGAAAATAGAGGTTCCATGATTGAATCTATGACACACAGCACATAAATGATGAGTCAGCACCAGGCACCAGAGAGAGCAGCTGAAGTCATTTTACACTCAGTAAATGATGGTTGGGTTGAATTCTGCTGCACTTCTCAGAGGCAGAACCACTCACTGAAGAAAGTGTACTCAGAAAGACAGCACAGCCATCAAGGACCAAGAGCAGAAACAGCTCACCAATAAGGCAGTGTCTCATTCTGGGACACTGGGAGGAATGAGGGGGACCTGCCTCCACCTCATGGAAGACTAGATGGGCATGGACATGAGCTCTCTTAGGCCACAGAACTACCTTTTCAGTTGTGAACTAAAAGCTGACAAAGATTATCACTTTAAGGTGGCTAATGATGAGAAAGAACACCAGTTGTCACTAAGAAAGGTAAGTTTAGGGGCAGGGGCAAAAGATGAATTACACATGGTAGAGGCAGAAGAAATGAACTATGAAGGCAATCCAATTAAAGTAACACTGGCAACTTTGAAAATGCCCATACAACCGACAGTTTCCCTTGGTGGCTTTGAAATTACACCACCTGTGGTCTTATGGTTGAGGTGTGGTTCAGAGCCTGTGCACATTAGTGGACAGCACCTAGCAGCTGTAGAGGAAGATTCAGAATCAGAAGATGAAGATGAGGAGGATGTAAAACTCTTAAGTATGTCTGGCCAGCGATCTGCTCCTGGAGGGGGTAGCAGAGTTCCACAGAAAAAAGTAAAAATCAATGAAGATGAGGATGAGGATGATGAAGATGATGAAGATGATGGTGATGAGGAAATTGAAGAAAAAGTTCCAGTGAAGAAATCTGTATGCGATACCCCAGCCAAAAATGCACAGAAATCAAACCAAAATGGAAAAGACTTAAAACCATCAACACCAAGATCAAAAGGTCAAGTGTCCTTCAAAAAAAAAGGAAAAAACTCCTAAAACCCCAAAAGGACCTAGCTCTGTAGAAGACATTAAGGAAAAAATGCAAGCAAGTATAGAAAAAGGTGGTTCTCTTCCCAAAGTGGAAGCCAAGTTCATTAATTATGTGAAGAATTGCTTCCAGATGACTGACCAGGAGACTATTCAAGATCTCTAGCAGTGGAGGAGGTCTCTTTAAGAAAATGATTTAAACAGTTTGAAATATTCTGTCTTACTTGATTTCTGTAACAGTTGATATATCTGGCTGCCCTTTTTATACTGCAAAGTGAAAACTTTCCCTACTTTGTTTGATAAATATTGCCCAGGTTCTATTGCCAAGAATGTGTTGTCTAAAATGCCTGTTTAGTTTTCAAGGATGGAACTCCACCCTTTACTTCCTTTTAAGTTTGTGAGGACTGTTACGATAGGACATATTAACAGTGGAGGTCAGATGTACAAATGGTAGGGAGACAAAAGTATACATGTGAAATAACTTTACTTAATAAAGTAAAAAAAAATTACTACTGTTCACAGGAGAAGGACCACATCAAGGTAGGAGGGCATCTCTATCCCATAAAGAGCAACAACTGTAAAGACAAGAGAAGCTTATCAACCAGAGAAATTTACAGTAAAATATAAGAAAGCTGCGTATTTTCCCACTGCTTATCCATGTTTTCCATAGACCATGGAAATGAAATGGAATAGGGTTAATCTCCAACGTGTTTGTAGTTAACTTTTATCTAAATCTTTTATGTTCCTAACTGAATGTGATGTGCCCTATCCCTAAACATGAACAAATGTCAAGTTGTTGAGAAAATCAGTAAAAATAAGCATTCAATAAATGGATGAAATGCAAAAAAAAAATAAGGTTGTGAGCCAGAAAATAGAAACATTTAAAAATCCACATTATAATCTTTTCTATATAATAGAAATGCAATTCTATATGTGAAGTTGTAGGCTGTTGACATCATTCTTCCATTAGGCCCATTGCTCGGTGTCTCCCTCCTTTGACCAGATACAATAATGGATCCAAAGGGTGTGAGCATCCTTCTGATGCCTGTGGATAATTTATGCTATATGGCTAAGGGAGGCTCTCATGTGACTCATTGAGGGGTCTTCTGTTTCTCCATGGTAATACTTGTGAGCCTTGAGTGATTACAGAGACCATGGCGAAGGAGAGCCAGAGATGAGAGTTTGGGCAGAGGAAAAGGCCTGAGTAATGATGGCTGGGCAGCTCAGGACAGAAGCCAGGTCCACTTGTCACTGACCAACAGATCATCCTTACTGCCTTCACAGATGGGAAAAGGAGATAAAGTGACATGGCGACTGGGGAGCAGTGAACAAAGGCCTTCTATTCCACATTTACAGCATTTAATAGGAAGGACGGTTAATCCAGGATGAAGAGGTCTAAAGGTAAGTAAGAATGAATGTACAAATTAGAAATTTTCTAAGCTAGAGATTTCTATACAATCCAGTGTGGACAATATGAAATGAGTTCCAATCTTCACCAAAAATCTTGTCATTGTAAAGATTAATTAGTAACTATGATGTTAATATTTTCACAAAGCAGTCTTAATGATGAGTGCCATACTTTTACAAGAGTTTGGATTGCCAGAGCTGGAGATATTGAAGTTTGGCAGATGCTTGATGTTGGTGCTGGGAATTGACCTCTGTTCCTCTTGTAAAGAAATTGGTGCCCTTCATAGCTGAGTAATCTCTTCAGGCCTCAAACACCCCCCCTTCTTTTTAATGGAGCATGAAACATAACTTCTCGGCTATGTCTATGGCAGCCAGTAAAGAAACATGCCCTAGCACCCCAGGCAATCCTATCACGTCTTGTGACCATAAACCAAACAACAGTTGGAAACTTTTGCTTTTATTTTTAAACATGATTATAAAATAAATTTCCAAAACCATTTTTATACTAGGATCTCAGAAAGAGTCTGTTGAGATCAATTCAGATGATTTACTGACCACCTAGTCTTTCTGAAAAGAATCTGTTTTTGACACGCAGCACTAACCAAACCACACCTCTGTGGCAGCAAACAGATGCATAGACCAGAACATGGAGGACAGTCAGTGTGGTACGCTGGTTTTCACCTCTCCTCAGGGCATGCCTAGCTAGCACTGGATCCTGTCTTCTGGAGGACTATTGTGTCTGTGAGAAACAGTGACATTGGTTTGCACAAGAAGCTACTGCTGTTAGTAGTCGTCAGGGAGAAGACAGTAGAAAGTATGCCTTTGGTGCCGAGAGCATTCTGCCTCCAGAAAATTCCAGTAAGAGCTGAGAACCCTTTGAACCCTCCTTTTACTTCCTGACTTCTTGATGGGAAAATTGTTGAGACAAGGCTTTGTTTTGATACCGTGGAATTACCAGATGGTAGAAGGTAGAAAACAGACCAGTACTCTCCTTGATTTGTAATGAGAATAAAAACCTTAGCTTTACATTCCTTGATAATGCCCATGATAGTAACTGAACCATCACACATTTCAGATTTGAAATGGGATCTCTCTGTATATGCAGGTTCTTGGGTAAGATCAGGGTGTTTTCATAAGTTTGTAACCAGGATTCTGCTTATCTTGCTACTTAGACTTCAGTTTTTTTTTTTTTTGTTTTGTTTTTTTAATTTTAGCTAGGGCCACAGCAGTGTTTACAGTTTGTACCATTTAGGTTGTGGCTGTTGAAATCCTCATCCATTCACACGTTACCAGAAAATAAGCAGCACTGGAAATCTCAACAGCCCTTCAGGACAGCTAAAACCATTTAAAGTCACACATGAGAAATTCCAAGAGTGTCTTGGGAATTTTGTGACACTAAGCCCTTTGCAAGAAGTTTAACTATTTTATCTTTGGGGTTGGTTTTGCACTGTCTGCTTGAATTGTTCCCTGAGCATGTTAACAAAGATTAAATTGAGAAACACAGTTTAGCAATTTAAGTACAATCTTGCAGATCAGAACTCTATTACAATGTAATAAAATACCTGGACTCTTTGCATGAACTAGTCCATGTCTTCTGTCTTCTAATGTGTTTTTATAGTTTATATAGCTAATTGGTAGTATGCCTTGATTATTTTTTTACTTAACTTGTTAATTAACTTACAGGCAATGTATCATGAATCCCATGTAGCTTCAATATCACTATGAGGTCAAGGATAGTCTTGAACTTCTACTCCTCCTCCCTCTGCTTCCCCAGCCCTGGGATTACAGGCATGAATCCTCTGTGCCATGCTTGGAATTGAACCCAGAGCCTTCTGTAATGTAAGTTAATCAGGCACTCTGCTAATTGAGCTACAGCCCAGCCCTTGTTACTTCTCATTCTTGCTATATAGTTCACGTTGTCCTCACACCAATAAAATTCTCGTACTTCAGCAACTGAATGTAGGGTTTACATGCGTGCACATCCACCCATCCATCAGGTCTTGGCTTTTAAATAATTCTTCATATACATTTATGGATTTCAAAAGTTCTTTAAATATCTGGAATGCATGTGGAAAGAACTTCACGCTAAGCTTCAGCAGTTTGGGTATGCCTCAGAGAGGAGCATGATAAATATAGGGATCATGAACTATTTGTAGAGAATTTATCATGGTCTACTTATTCCAATAATGCAGACACAAAATTGGTAGAAAAATGTATTATGTTTATGTAGATAGAGGATGCAATTTAACACATAAACAAAGAAATTAAAATTAGGATTCAAGTTCAAGATTCCCTGAATTTGTTTCTTGTTAAGGCAAACACAGAAATGTAGCCCACTAGAAAGGAAGTAGGTAGCTCATTAAAATCCCCCGTATCTGCTCCTTCATAGGCTGTCCTCTGATCTGAGTCAGTCAGCTTCATGTTTTGCCCTAGCTTGTGTGAATGCACAATAGAAACACATTTTGTTCTGGTTTCCTAATTGTACATTATACTCTGAAATTTTCTGTTTGGTCCTCTGGGTGATAATTGGCATTCACCCTTCATGTGGTGTTTGTTTGCATCCCTTTCTCTCTGTGTACTGCATTTGCGTCTGAAAAACACAATTGCCTTAGTAATCAATATTCATATTTTTGGTTAATAAACCTGGAGGACTATGTCCTTGCACGTACTTGTACACCTGTTGTTACAAATGCACACTTATAGCCTTCTGTTTTTAATTTTTTTGGTCTCAAGAATGAGCACAAATATCTTCCCCAAATTCCCTGGAAGAAAATGTGGTGAGTGTGACTGCAGTAGTAGGAAAGGCAGGTGCCATCTAAATCTGGAAAGAAAACAGAATGAAATCTTTATCTTTAGCTACTGTTTAATTTGCCAGCAAAATCATTTTCTCCTTGTCCAGATGGCATACCTCTGTACTGGGAATCTGCTGGCTCTAGCAATAAGATTATAAAACCTACAGAGAACTATATATTTTACTGTCTTGAAGATAGCAAACATAAGGTTCTGTAGGCAGCACCAGCAAGAGTCTAATTGTCAAGAAAGACATATTTTACATGATATGTGCATTTTAAAATTGAAATAATTATTTCTCAGAATTTAATGTTTTTTTTTTTTTAGTGTGTAATACTAATGACACAGTGGACAATAGCAAGCGCTTAAGAAAAGTTTAACAATGACACAAATGCTAATTATAATAGAAAGCTGCTGAATTGTTAGACATTAATAACCAGTACAGAATATTATCAGCTGGGATTTTTAGTAAAGCCCAGATTACATAGAGAAATGTAACTGAATAATCAGAATTTAAAATTTCCTCTGCTTCACAAAATAAAATCTACTATACTCATTATTTTATGTACATAGAAGTTATGCAATCCTCATGAAAATCTCAACCCAATTATTCACCAAAAATGAAAAGCAACTTTCAACTTCAAATGAAAACACAATAAACCCAGAAAGAGTCCTGAAAAATAAACGAACTGCTGGAGAATTCACAGTCCTTGATTTGAAGTTTTATTAAAGAGTTATACTAATACAAACAGCATGGTGTTGGCATAAAAACATAGAGAAATGTAACTGAGTAATCAGAATTTAAAATTTCCTCCGATCCATGGAATCAAATAGAAGACCCAGGCATAAGTCCATATACTTACAGACATCTGATAAAGAAGCCAAAAATACATAATGAGAAAAAAAGACATCTTCAACAAATGGTACCAATAAAACTGGTTGGCTGTATGATT